CATCTAAAGAATAGATTTGATGCATTGAACACCAACGACCGAAAGCCAGATGAATTATGGGAAGATATCAAGAACATTATCCATGAAGAAAGCAAGAGATCACAATTGCCAAAGTCATATAAAACATTTCTATCTCCCTAGAGTTTCCTCATGCCATTTATAGTCAATCCCTTCCACAAACTTTAATCCCCTAGCAACCATGCATTGTCACTGTAATTATCTTTTCCAGATTTTCGTATAAATGGAATCATGCAGTATATAGGTCTTGTGTCTGGCTTTATTCATGTAGCATAAAGCTCCCAGAATTCATTTGTGTGCTTTTGTGTATTAATATATTCATTTTTATTTCTGAATAGTATTCTGTTGTACCATAATTTATCTCTTCATTGGTTGATGGACATTGTGTTGTTTTCAGTTTTTTGGCCATTATGAATAAAGCTGCTGTGAACTTTCATATATAAGTTTTTATTTGGACAGTATTTTCATTTTGCTTAGGTAACTATGTAGGAGTGGGATTTCATTTTCCTTGGATAAATACAAAGGAGTGTAATATCATAAATGTATGTTTATCATTAAAAGATTGTGCTCCAAAGTGGGTGTACTATTTTATATTTTCACTAGCAATGTATGATAATTCCTGTTTATCATATTCTGGTTATAGCTCTTAAAAGCAAGAACTTTGATATTCCCTATATGAATGTCATGTACATTTATAAGAGAAATATTTTAGGACTGCTTTATTTGGGTCTCCTTTGAGACTGTTATATATAATTTGTTCTGCATTGTTAGCTTTATAGTCAACTATTTGATTGACTTATACTTATATCTAATATTTTCCTTGAAATGAATTTTAACTTTTATAGTTTACCCTATTCATTGGGAAACCTTCACTTGAAATTCTTGGCACTAGAAGGAAATCCTTTGAGAACCATTCGGAGAGAAATTATAAATGTAAGTATATTTAGAATTCAGCTCTTTATTTTTAATTTGAAATTCAGACATGCATTTGATCTAAGTGAATATGTATCTTTTTTCTCTACTCTTCCAGAAAGGAACCCAAGAAGTCCTGAAATATCTACGAAGCAAAATCAGAGGTAATTTTCTATTTTACTTCATATTTTGAAGGATAATAGAAAAGTTGGTAAAGGGTTAGTAGTAAATAAATTTAAATGAACTTTGAGTATAAATATGTAGAGGAAATGGTCTGTGGAAGGGAAACAGTAAGTATACTAAGGTTATAAAACATCCTTAAACTCACAATGATAATATTCTATCATTAATTTCTTTGATTGATCTTATAGTATACCGATAAGAAAATATACCCACTGCTCAATTACATCCATGGTTAGGTTTCAAAAACCTGTGTGAAAATCGGCATTATGTAAAATAGAGGACATCATATCACAAAATAGAAGATGATGACATCATTACATAACTCCCAATTTACATCATTTCATAACTGCCAAGCTACTGAGAATCATGACCTAGCCAAGTTGACACATAACCTTAACTATCACTAATTAAGCATGATCACTAAAGCCAGCATTACTCTCATCTTATGCCTCAGCAATTGTTACTGCCAGAAGTATATAGTTAATGTGAAAAATAATCTAATTGTATATTTTTTACTGTTGTCATAAATGTGAAGTATCAGATAACATGATTGTTGATAAGTGAGGAATACCAAAACCAAAAACCGAACCTACTTCCATCAAGTCAATTCTGACTCATAGCAACCCCCATTGGCTTTCCAAGGTGGTAAATCTTTACAGAAGTAGATTGCTCCATCTTCCTTCTGCAGAGTGGCTGATGGTTTTGAACCGACAACTTTCTGATTAGCAGTCAAATGCCTTAGGCACTATACCACCAGAGCTCCTTAAATGAGGAATTGTTGTTGTTTGCCGTCGAGTCGGCCTCGACTCATAGCGACCCCTTCTTGGGTTTCCGAGGCAGTATCACTATGGAAGTAGGATTGCCCAACCTTCCTTAGGTGTACATAATAACAACGATTCAATAAACATCTAGTGCTTTGCCTTTGAAAAAGGAGCAAAATTTGACTTTCAGAATATATTTATGGGTTCTATTGACTGGGCAGCATAATAACAGCTATTTGAGTATCTACTCTGCATGTATAGCTTTGTTAAGTTCTAACAAAATATAAAGACAAATACATTCTTTAAAGATATTATAAATTTAGATGAGCATGCAGCAAAAGTGAAAATTATACTATAAATTTAATTCTTAATGCTTCATTTAGAGTGTGATATATCCCAGTTCTAATATTATGTCTATTATTATGGTATAAACTAAAGCATTAAGAAAAAAATTAGTTATACCAGTGTAGTACAACAGCTGTTTATTTAGCTCACTATTCCAGTGGTGATCAGTTTGGACTGGATTCTTTTGGGCATTTATTCTTCTGGTCTGGGCCAGACTTAAATGAAGTTTAATTATATGTCTGTGGTCAGCTGGTATGGATGGCTTCATTCACATGTCTGGCAGTCAGCTGAGGCTATCAACTTGAGTGTTGAGACAAATGCCTCTCATTATCTTGGCAAGTCCTAGTTTGTTCATACATAGTGGTTGTAGATTCCCCAAGACCAGTATGAAAGAGGGCAGATAGCAATGTGTAAGTGCTTTTCACAACACATTTGCTGATGTGTTATTGGCCAAACTAAGTTGTAAGACCAGCCCAGAGTCAGTGTGGGAGAGCAGGGTGGAAGAAAAATGAGTAGTATTTTTATTTTTATTATTTGTTTTAGAGATAAATTGTTAAGTGCTCTATTATACAGACTTTAGTTGAGCTTATCTTTCAAATTATTACCTTGTAGCAAGGCATTAAAAGTGATTATTAGTACTTAAATATACTCTATTGTGGTTTGCTCTCATCAGAATATAAGAACTTGACTCATCTTGGACATTTAGTAAATGCTTATTGACTGGTTGATTAGATGATTTGAAAGCTAGATGGATATTGCTCTAGCTTCAAAAACATTTCACTTCTTTTAAGTTGAAGAAATTAAATCCGAAGTTAGCCTATTATATATATTATTTCATATTTTTTTTTAATTTGAAAACCTTGAAATATAAATTTTAATAAACTTCCAAATGTATAACCCTTTTTTATACTATAAAATACTTATTGTACTAGTATGGAGCAGTATCATTGTCCCATGTTATTAGAGAAAATCTGGGGAACTTTTCTAAGGTGATAAATGACATTCTGTTGTTTTTCTTTTAAGAGTATTTTTCATTCCTGACCAGTATTCCTTCTTTAATTTCTTTGGTCTTCAGATTTTTCTTTTTCCAATAAAAATTTGATGATGTCAGTTCCCCTGCTTAAAATCCTTTAATGTCAGTCCAGCACAAAGAGAATAGGCTTAAACAATATGATGTGAAATCATCAGGTGTTTAACTCTCTAACATCTTCCCTGTGCCAGAGCCATATCTAACTACTTAAAGTATACAGTATGCCATGCCCTGAATTTTACCGCTGACTGTATTGTACTGTTCAGACTCATTTCTTTCCTCATGGACTTGTCAGGGTATTCATAATTCCATCTTTATGTACCTACTACCCAGCCTAGCACTGGCCAATCAGTCATTGTCACATAACTAATTGCATGGTTCAGAAGTTTTCATTTTCCATCTTGCCCATCAAATATATTGCAAAAATGATTTTCATAGCCTATTCCCTATCACTGCAAGAGATTTCTTTCTTCTCCAGAAAATTTTGATAAATCTGACATGAATTAGTTAGAATAGTAAAATTCTTACCAATCCCCAAAACCAGCAGGAATTTCATGTAAGTTACATTTATGTACAAACATTTCTGCTACACAACCTCTGTGCAAGGATGGCAGATAGAATTCATGCAGCTAATTTAATTCTTTCTCAAAACTCTACTGATATAATGGAAATCTTTTTAAAAGACTTGAGAATCTTTCCTTACCAAGGCATAATTTTCTATAAGTAATAAGTATTTTTTCGGTGAAAGATGGTCAATGAAAGGACCATCCCCTGTGAAGCTTTTAAAAAATACAATGTTCAGGTCAGACTGCAGGCCAGTTAAATCAGAATTCTGGGGGTTGTGATTGAAGGCTTTTCAACAATAGAATAGAATTGGATTTAATTGTCCCTGAATTTCCTAGAACTCTGAAGACAGTGTTGGACCACTTTGAGGTTAACTTTTTTTTTGTTCAGCTTTTTTCTCCTTGTTCTTACTAATTCTCAAATTCAGAGGTAGAAATTGAGTTAGTGAAAACTGAAAACATGCTGGTTATTTGATTCAAGAGATATTAGCAGATTAAGATAAACATTTTATACTGAAATGAGAGGACTTTACAATAGAAACTGATTATTTTGAGGATGCTGAACAATCCAGAAGCATGCAGTTACTTACCATTTGAAAAATAATCTTAGAATATTTGAAATATATTAAAAGGCAGTTGTCTATGATACTTCAAATATAGATGCATACTCTTTTGCATAAAAGAAAAATCTTGTTATCTTGAAAAGCATATTAATTTTTGGAGTGGTGTAGGACAACACAGGTGCTTGACCACACCGTGACTATAAGACAATTCCAAATCTTTGTGGTACTCATAGGTTGTCCCTGATTTCTAGATAGCCAGAAGACCATTAGAAAAAGGACACCAACAACTAATATGGAGTATTTCACAAACATTATGTCCTCAATCAGAGACCAAGCACACATTAGCACATAGAAAGTAGCTTTTATTACTTACAAGATCCAGACAGCATACAGCAGAAGTTCCATCATGACCACCACTCCTTCAAAAGCTATCTAGGCAGAGATGTCAGTACTTCTTTGCACTCCCCACTTTGTACCACGGTTGAGAGGCTTAAATGGGATCCTACCTACCGTTGGTCTCCCCCTGGTCAGGTAGTTGCACCTAGGTAGGCGGTAACCTTATGCTTTATTTGCCCTGCTGGCACCATAAATGAGGTGACTCAAAAAATGCCCTCTCCCAGCTGTTATATTGCCCCAACCTAAGTGACTAATTGTATCTTTTTAACCTTGCTAATATCCTAGTGGCGCTCTGGTAGCATAGTGCCTAAGGCACTTGACTGCTAACCAGAAGGCTGGTGGTTTAAACCCACCAGCCACTCCTCGGAAGGAAGTTTGGGCAATCTACTTCCATAGTGATTCTGCCTCGGAAACCCAAGGAGGGGTCGCTATGAGTCGGGTCCGACTTGATGGCACATACCAACAACAACAACAACAGTATCCTAGTGCATCATGCTCCACTGACCTGAAGAATTCTGGTTTAGCCCAGAAGTGTATCTTTTTAACCCTGCTAACAAGCATCAGGCCCCATGGGAGTGTGGGGTTGTTCTGAAGCCTAAAGATGCCAACAAGGAGAAGAATGGAGAAAACCATGGCCTTCTGGCTTGCCTGAAAAACTTACTCCTCACAAATGGATTAATGTATATTCTTCCTAGAGTTTATGCAGTAGCCCAGGAAGTCATCTGGAATTTGGAAGAACGTTCTATAAAGTACTGTTAATCCTTTGGTAGGAGCCAACGAACAAACGAATGAATGAACAGAGTGCCGTTGCGTCAGACCCGAATCATAGCGACCCCTCCTTGGGTTTCCGAGGCAGTATTACTATGGCAGGAAATTGCCCAACCTTCCTTCCGAGGAGTGGCTGGTAGGTTTGAACCACCAGCCTTCTGGTTAGCAGTAAAATGCCTTAGGCACTACGCCACCAGCACTCCCAAAGTAAATTTGAAAATCCCATTTGTCCTACAAATATAATTATAAACTATAATTATTCTTTTAAAGATCAATCTTTTAGTGACTTCAGAGTATTTAAACCATTCTCCACAGATGAGATTTTTTTGTTTTGTTTAGATTTTAGTTGATATATTTATTACTATATTGAGCCTACATTTCTGTATTTGTAAAATGAATATAATACCTTCTTTATTTTTAAGGCAAAATTTCTTGTGGTAGTATGTGTGAAAGTACCCTACGTCCTTTACACATCTAGATACTGTTTCACATTCTTATTGATAGATGAGTCTTGTTATTATAGGCTCTCAAATAACCCCAGCATCTACTTACTTTTAAAAATGTTCATTATTCTATATGTAAAAACTAATATCCTAAAAAACATATCAATGGGCTGTAATTTAAATTTTTGTTTTCACTGTTTATAAAGTACCTTCTTGGGGATTAGGTTGGAGGCTTGCAAAAATTAACACTTTGACATGCAAATCTTAAACTTTTTATAGTTGTGATAAGGTCCAAGGACATATTTTAAGTAAGGATGTCAGAGGACCTCAAGGTGAAGGATGTTGAATAAAGGCAACTTCCATTATCTCTAGTTTATTGATGGGAGATGTGTTCCACTGGTGGTCTACCCAGGGTGAGAGCCTGCAAAGTCATTAGAGTTCCCAAATGGATGCTTACTCCAACTATGTCATCATAAAATTTAAGCTCATTTATTTAATTTGATTTTAAAAACTGCCTTTGCCCTAGCTACATCACCTGATTCTAATATCTGGGTTGAGTTCAGTTCTTATTGTGCTACCAAGGTCACCTTGCTTTGCAGCCTGTGGTGGACAGAATAATGACTGCTTCAACCTAATCCCTGCATCTGTGTGTTTAGTACCTTAATGGCAAGGGAGAATTAAGGTTGCAAGTGAAATTAAGATTGCCAGTCAGCTGACCTTAAAAGAAGGATATTAACCTGTATTTAAGAATGCCTGAGTGGCTCAAATGGTTAAGTGTTGCACTACAACTGAAAGGCTGGCAATTCAAATCCACCCAGAAGTACTTTGGAAGTCAGGCCTGGTGATCTGCTTCCAAAAGGTCACAGCTTTGAAAACCCCGTGGAGCAGTTCTACTCTGCACAAAAGAGGTCACCATGAGTTGGAATCAGTCAACTCGATGGCAACTCATAACAATAACAGCCTGTTTTTATCTAGCTATTCTGAAATTTCATGATAATGTACCTTGGTGTGGTTCCACTTTTATTCATTGTGTTTGGTGCTCAATGCCTAATTGATTTTTTTTTCAGGATTCATAATTAAAAAAATAACAAATGCACATGATTAAAAAAATTCAACTAATGTAAGAGGATATATAAGGAAAAGTAAATTTCCTTTCATACCACTTCCTTTTCCAGAGACAATAGCTTCCTTCTTTATAGTCTCCTTGATGCTGATTATTAAAAGTATCTCTTTGAAAAGGATTGAGAAAAATCCTCTCTCAGTATATAATCATGACAGTATTCAGATAATCATGTGTATTTAAAAAAATAATGCTGGGTTTTGTTGCAAACTGCTAGGGAACTTCTAAATACCAAAGCATTCACTTGATCTTAATGTTTCCCTTTATGTCTTTTATTTTTATTTTATGTTCTGTCATTCAGTCCTACATCTGTGATTAAAGGTATTCATATGACATTTGCACAGGGAAAATAGTTGAATCGTTATCAATCTGATGAGCTGAATGCAAAAGAAACGTATTCAGTAATAGTCAACAAATGTTTATTGCATGCCTGTTGGGCAGAGGCAAGATGAGGTATAATATTTCTTTGTGATCTTTTGGGATACTTTCTGCTCTTATGTATGAATTCTGGGACTGTTTCAGCTTTTCCACATTGTTGAAAATTAATAGTCTTATTTTATTTCTCTAGATTGTGAGTCTTTTTTGTAAAGAAACCACAAAGCCACTTTCAAATGTGTATTTTATTTTTTATGCCATATGATGGCAGTATTAAACAGTCTCTCGAGATTAGTAAGAAGGTTGGTACTGTGTGTATGTATGAGTATATAGGTATGTTAGGAAAATGTCTTGAAAAATGACATACATAATGTACCAGAAATTCACTTGATTATGCAAATTGCCAGATTTTTGAAGTGACTGAAGATAATCAGCTTCATTGTATCCTTAACTGAAAAGATTGGCATATGCCTATTTGGTACGCATCTGTAGGAAATAATATTGTTCTTTTGCTGATCAAATTCCTTTTAATGGACTCTGTTATTTTGTTTAAAAGGAATGATGTTTTTCTTCTAAGAAATTGTAGTTATTATTTGAAAGTTCTTTCTTCTAAATTTCCTTACAGCAGGATTGATTAAAAGGATTTGAAGTCATAAGGTAATAACATTATTTCTTTTCTATTAGTTAAATAATAGATTCCAGATCCAGATTTATTGAAATTAATGCATATAAGTAAAGGTATTCTCACTAGTAATCTCTAGAAATCATTTGTACTATTTATACATGTTATAAAAAATTCAAAAAATATTTTGTAGTATAAATACTGATTTTGTATAACTTTTTCTTTTGCCAGATGATGGACCTACCCAATGTGACTCTGTTACTGAGACGGCCATGACACTACCAAGTGAATCAAGAATCAATGTACATGCTATAACCACATTAAAAATATTAGACTATAGGTATGTTACTCATTTTTTAAAAACATTGCATAGGATGTGGGAGACATCCTAGAAGTAATTTTTGAGACAAAGGGCAGTTGATGAGGAAGAATTCATCAACGTACAATAGTACTTGATTTAAAATAACAGCAGTTCCAAAAATAATGATGAGATAAAAGCTTATTAAAAGTATAGTGAGCTTAACTGCCCATTCTTTAGGTGATTGGTGTTTATTATGTTTAATAGACAGATAAATAGTTATTAATACTAGTATTTTTGTAAGGGGCATTTATAATAAAAGTTAAATAGTAACAGTAGTGGTAATAGGCGTCTCTGACTTAGTAATCAGCACCCACAGAGAATTTTATATTGGGGTTCTATGTTAATAAAAAAAATAGTATTTAGTTAATGAACACTTTGAATAGAAGGCAATGCATGAATGGTTATACCCTATCAATTTCTCTGAATACACAGTTGTGGTAGTAAGGTTATGTGTCACCTTGGCTGGTGGGCCTGGTTTTGAGTGGCTGGGCAGCTGGATGTAGTTATTTTCCATGGTGAGATTGGTAAGTAACTTCATGGTGGAATCTACTGGAGCAGCTGAGTAGCTTCTTTAGGGATGTGGTCTGCTTTTAGTACGTAAGAAGCATCTTTGAGGAAGGTGTCCAGCTTATGGCATGCTTGAATCCTTCATGTAGCTGAGTCATTGTTCAGCAGCCTGCCATGAGGTTTGCTAATATTAGGACTGTGCCATTTTATTTGTTGACCTTGGGCTTGTTAGCCTAAGCAGCCAGCCGCTGCCTGAGTGAAGAGACGCCTCTAGCTTCAGTGGGCTTGGAGCAACAGGGCGAGCCGAAATCCAAGGTCAAGGGACTTTCACCCAAACCCTAGAACCTGGCACTTTGAACTCAGACTGCTCACCTCCAAAACTGTAAGAGAATAAATTCTGTTGGTTAATGCCATTCCACCCATGGTATTTTCTGTTAGAGCAGCACAAAGTAACCAAAACAACAGCCAAATAATACAATAATTGTGTGTTCTGGTACACATATATTAATACTGAAACAGTTACAGTATTAATTAGTATATGATTTAAGTCAAAAGCCTAAAACTTTTATAAAACCATGAATATGTATTAGAGTAGGGAAGGAAGATACCTATGCAAAGATTAAAGGTGGTTGTCAAGTGTTCTTTTGGTACTCTTTTAGACAATAATAAATGTAAATGATACTATCAAGGCTCTTGCAGTGATTTGCTTATGTCTGGGTATTATAGCAAGAATACAGAAGAAATGCAAACTCAAGTGAGGTAACTAGATTTATTCAAGAATCTGTGCAGCCAGCATCAGTGTCTGGCCTCACATCCTTGACGTGTCATTAGGAACCCCCTTCTAAGCAGTCTGAGTAGAGTCTCAATTTCAGATTTCATGTATTCCATTCACATGAGCTTCACCTCTTGCCTACTATCCTTTCATCTATGTATGAAAAAGGTAAACTAGCTTTCTTTTGCCACACTCTAACACTAGGTAGTACCCCTGTGTATTCATACTTTTGTTCTCTTCCCTCCTACCATAGTATGGCAACTTAACATATCTTCCACATAATATATCCATTTATTTAGTAGATATTTTTGGAGGCTACTAAGTATCAGGTTCCATTCTAGGCACTATAAATACACTGAAGACTGACTTGATTCCTGTCCTCATGGAATTTAGAATTATTGACATCACTGGCTACCAGTTCTTCCACCCTGAATGGATGCCATTTAGTTACTCCCTGTTTTGTTCTGGATACTATACCAGGTATTTTACACATGCTGTTGCTTTGAATCCTTCAAATAGTTTATGTAGTGGTATTAATTTCATTTGAGATAACCATTCTTACTGTTTTCAGACACATACATCACAGAAACACAATACAGAGAACTTATAAACTATACATTTTAAGTAGTGCTGATTCTAAATTTATTGTAATTTGGGTTTTTTTAGAGACTTTAATTGGAAAGGTGTATCCTATTTAAGATACAAATTAATTCCCTATCTCAAACGTAAATGCATTCAACTAAATTTTAAAATTAGCATGAATATTCCATGTTTGATTAGCATAAATCACTTTTCTATGAGTTGATCATTTCTGATGAAAGAGAGAAATCTATATCTGAACCTCAGGAGTCCTAAAGCAGAATTTGAAGGCAAAATAATTGTGAAATCCTGACAGTTCTTTTGCCTATCTGCATTATTTTGCCCTTCTCACATAATTCTCTCTTGTTACGTATTATATACAATATTGTTACCTTATTAGCACAGTTAATTTGCCATTTCATTTATGTTTCCCTTAAGTCAGTGACATTGTGTTGAGCATTAAAAACTGTTAAAAAAAAAAAAAAAAGAATGTAAGGATTATTATAACATCAAGGAAGTGTAATATTTGCAAATGTCAGAATTCTGTTAATTTGTGTAAGATTAAGTTTATATTTTATTGAAAATTTTAATGAAAAAGATTTATTTATATTTACATTTGCAAAAGATGTGGTATAAATTCAGATTCTACTTTTACAGAACTAAGGTTCAGGAAAGGTAATTTACAGAACCAGGAATAGTTCAGTCTCAGTCCATTACTTTGTCTACCTTGTTACATATTAAATGAAAGAGAAAGTACTTTAAGTTATGAGAGAAAGTTAGTTTAGTTTGGCATAATATTGAATTTTCAAAATTTGTTATCTTGCGGTAAACTATATACCCCCAAAAAGTTGACTGATAACCAGTTTTTAAGTTTTTACCAGAAAAAAAGGGCAACAACCAGCGTTTAAAATGATAGATATATCCTACTGAGAGACAGAGGATGGGCTATCCATATTACTTCTAGGTATCTTTGAATGCCGGTAAGTTGTGGCAGTATGTGTTATGGCACAGTATGTTGTCTGAATTCCTAATAGTGGACATTTTGTGGATTAGCAGGCTTGTGTGGCATTCCACAAAACTTAATAAGTCAACTTTGAAAAGTTTGCTTATAAAATATTTAAAGGCCTTTACAAACTGAGTAATAATCTTATCTTTCTGGACTGCTGAAAATGATTCATTTTTAACTACTTTTTCTTTAGTGATAAACAAACAACTTTGATTCCCGATGAAGTGTTTGATGCAGTAAAAAGCAACATTATCACTTCTGTTAACTTCAGTAAGAATCAACTATGTGAAATTCCGAAAAGGTAGGAACTGTTGATAATGCCATTTTCATTGTGACTTCATATCTTAGTTACAAGAATAGTTATTTGCCATAGTTTTAAAATTTTGAATATGTACAAAATTTCTTACATTATGAATATTAGAGTGATTTAGCAAATGTCATTAAATGTTCCCAATAAAATTTTAAAATTTGTTCTCAGTGGTATACAAATATAAAGAAACTTTACATTTTTTACTTGGAAAATAGATATTACAATATTAAAAATACTGAATTATTTTCCTCCCATATAATTAAGATTTAGAGGAAAAGTGTTAAATAAGACTATCCAATGCCAGGTCTATGTGGATTAATAAGATAGTTTGCTTTTTTGTTTTTATGTTAATGAATTGTCAAGCTACTGAATTTTTCAGCTGATAATAAAAGCAAAAAAAAAAAAAATTTAACTGAACCCTGTTAATATTTTCCTCCCAGAAAAACTTCTTCACTTGCAGTAATTAGAAGTTGTTTGCATATACCTTGTACGATTTAATATATCTTTTTATTTATTTATTTACTTATTGTGATTTGAGTGAAGATTTACAGAGCAAATTCACTTTCCATACAGCAGTTTACATATACTTTGTCTCATGACATTGACCACAGTTTACCACAATGCAACAGCTCCCCTCCCACTTCCTCCCCATAGTTACCTCTTCCCAGTGTCCAT